CTGCCTGTCAAAAACGCCCGACTGATCTAATAAGGAACAGAACGGCCAATAGCAAGGCAGGAGAGAGAATAAATAGGGGGAGAAATCTGGGAAAGAAGATTGAGGAGCGAAGAAGGAGAGGAAGACGTCAGGAGAAGCCACCCAGCTACACAGCAAGTCACGGAGGAAGTAAAGAAAGGGATATAGAATAGAGAAAGATAAAAGCCCAGAGGCAAAAGGCAGATGGGATGATTTAAACTAAGAAAAGCTGGCTAGAAACAAGCCAGGTTAAGGCCAGGCATTCATAAATAAGAACAAAACTGTGTATTTATTTGGGAGCAGGGTAGCGGGCCCCCAAAGACCAAAGAGTAAAGTACAACCAACAACAAAACACCTCTACACAAATAAAAAGAAGCAGAGCCCCAGGGACTGCTGGTTGGTGGCTTCTTTGAACACACTGCATAGAAAATCCTGGCATTACCTGTCAGTCATCTGGCTCATTTTCAGCTCAGTCTTATATGCATGTGTATAACACTAATGAAATATATAGCTGCCATGGGAAGCACTAATTTCCCACCAAATGACAACACTCCCTCTTAAGAGTGATATTTGTTCAGGACAAATGTGGGTTTAGCTATCAAAACTCCCCTGTGATTCAGGAATTGAATAATCCTTTTTCAGGGCAGGTGGGGGGGGGAGGGGTGGCTTAAGGTTTCACAGAGTCTCAGCCTATGACAGTGAAGAGCAAAGATTCAACGGTTCATGGCAGCTGCAACACATCATGCCACGGCTCACTTAGTCTACCTGCTACCAAAGCCATGCCTGAAATCACCCAACTCCCTGTTTTTGTCCACACCACCATTTAAACTATAAAATGTGTGACTCTTTGTCTACAACTCTCTCCCTTCAAATGGAAGCTATCTGTTCCCACATCGCTATATCTTAGCACTCCATGCCATGTGAGAGCTCAGTAAACAGCGGCCACATGAGGAAACTATGAGAAGAAGCAGGAATGGGGGTCAGGAGGAATTCTGGGTAAACGTCCTTAAAGGTACAAAACCAAAAACCACAACCTAGCTTCCTGAAGCCTGCTGAGTCATAGGGCCAGCCCTAAGAATGTGAATGGGATAAAACAAGATATGGGTCCAATAAAAGTGGCATTTCTTTAAGTCACTACGTGCCAGGCTTCCTGACACTCATGGTTAACCCAATTCCTCATAGATGTAAGAGATCTGTCCTTGCCAAGAGAAATGAAAAGAAGAACAGGCTTTGCTTTTCAGGTGTCTTTGAGAACAGCTGCGAACAAGAAATCTAGCTCATGTTCGCCCCTCACAGTGGCAGATACCAATCCAAGATGGGGGCCAGGAAATGGGACGCTGTGTCTCATCCACAGGTGACTTGGACAGTTGTGGAAACTAAAGGTTCGGGTGAAAGTTGCCTTGCTTCCTTGATTACCTTCTATGGTGGCAGAGCAGGGGCGTGCATGTGGCTGGCCAGGCAGCTCAGTGACAGAGCCACACGAGGCCCCGTGACGCATCACCAAGGCCACAAACAAAATACGCCAAAAACCCTCTTGCTGGAAATCAGGGTGAATGAGGGTGTTTGTCAAAGTGACGATGGGGGCGGAGGGTCCAGTTCCTCATCCCACTGACCTACCCCTCCATCTGCCTTTCTCTTTGATTCTGTGAGCCAAGCAGCCCAGAGCCTAGAAGCTTACATCCAGTGTAGAAAGCGGTGTCACGGAATGTGATGCCAGTAGTGCCAGGACTCCTTGTTCCATGATAGACTCACCACACCCACCTCCCTCGGTCCAAGCTAACTTCCTGGAAATCAAGACTTAAGCCGTGGCAGGTGTGTGTAGTGCCCTGGAAGAAGTACTATGGTTTATCCCTCTCTCCCCATGGAAATGCTTTTTTTTTTTTTTTTTTAATTGAGTTTTTAAGAAACGGACTTTATATCATAATCCATGCCAGATCCCTGTCTAAGCATAGTTTTTGCCTGGGGCAGAAGGGTGGGAAGCATGTGAGCTCCAGCCGCAAAGACACCTGGGAGACACTGGATCCAGAGGGCAGGAGCCGTAGAGTTGGGTGCTCTTGCTCGTAGAGTTGTCTGTGGTCCCGGAGCCTCTGCCCCGCCATGGGAAGGCTGGTTGTTGTAGGACATGTCACCCTTTGTTTAGTAAGCTCTCCAAATGCCAAACAAAAAGCAGAACAACATTTCTGCCCATAATGCAACACTCTGAGTCAGCATGGAATTTTAGTTGGCAGACACTTGTCGGGCACTAACCAGACACAACCAACTGGTTTGCCAGGGTCATATTCCAGGGCCTCAACAAGCAGCTGCAAAGCTGCCAGCCAGTGTTAGGGTGGGAGGCATCGAGGGATTTTCCAGTCGAACATAGCCGTACTTTAAAAGACCAATGAGTAACTTCTCAAAGCAAACCGTGCATTAAATCTGTCCTAACTATATCTGAGGTAGACATTTCACAGTGATAGCTCATCTTTAAAGACAAGGCAAAACCTGAAACCCCTTAGAAGGTTTTAATCGAGGACTAATTATCAACTACTAAGTGTTTTTTCTACTTTACAGCCACAGTGTTAAAAATTGACTCAGGAGGAATTGCTGAAGCTAAAAACCTGGTAAAAGTTTGATGAGGGGAAGGCTGCGCTAGAGTCTCAGTTATCCTCCCCAAAGAGTATTTGTTACAAAGAGAAACGATTTAGTTCCCAAAAGGGAGCCTCACAGATTCTGCGATAAACAGATCATCAAAATTCATTATCTCTAATCATGAGATTAGCAGGAGTCATGAGTTGCCTGACGTAATAGACTATGAAGAAGAAAAAAATAAGAAAGCCCTAACATAAAACAACTAGCCTATTCTGTAAAGGGGGGGGTGGTGGCGAGTTTACAACAGAGTAAGAAACCCTTTCAGACAATGCATGAACATATCATGAGTAGTTTTTGTAAGTGCTTGATTGATTGAATGAATGAATGGATAAATAAATAAATAAATAAATAAATAAATAAATAAATAAATAAATAAATAAATGTCCCAGCACTGGGACAATGAGAGAAAGCCAAGCTGCAAGTTAGGTGCTTCGCTGTAAGTTTTCTTCCTGGGAAATGCCCTGTGGTTCTGTGGGAGTGTGTGTGTGTGTGTCCTTAAGAAACGCATGCCAAAAGACTCAAGGCATTCAGGCTGTGATGTGTGCAACTCACGCTCACATGACTCAGCAACTGTGTGTGTGTGTGTGTGTGTGTGTGTGTATGTGTGTGTGAGTGTGTGTGTGTATGTGTGTGTATGTCTGTGTGTGTGTGTGTGTGTGTGTGTATGTGTGAGTGTGTGAGTGTGTATGTGTGTGTGAGTGTGTGTGTGTATGTGTGTGTATGTGTGTGTGTGTGTATGTGTGTGTGTGTAGTGTGTGTGTGTGTGTGTCCCAGAGAGGGAGAACAAGAAAGCATACACACGTCAGGAAGTGCTGATTCCAAGTGTGGAAGCTTTGTTTTGAGGTTTAAAAAAGAATGCTATAATTTTCAAGAAACATTACTAGAGAAGCGAGTAAAATGTTTTGTTTTTTTAAAAGAATTTCAGAATGGTTAGAAATATTAACCCTGAACCAGTGAAAAGGACAGAGGCAAAATGGCGGTACCACAAATGGAGAGATGGGGGTGGGGAGGCTGCGGGCAGTGGGTGTGGTGCCCGCTGTTTTATTAACCTCTGAGAAGTCCGTCAGTCTCCCCGTGGCCACAGGAGTCACACCGCGTTTCAAAGGAAGGGATACAAACACGGAAAACATGACTCACCACCGCTGAGCAAAAAGGGTGCCCAGCTTAACCAAGGCTAATCCAAACCGGGTGACCCACTCGGCCCTCCCCTTTCCTGAAGGCCTCAGATGCTCCAAAAGAACACCTGAGCCCTGCAACTCCATCACACCCAAGTGACAGCGTAGGTCAAGAGAACCCACAGCCCATGTTGTCAATGTCCACATCCACCCGGGGCCCGCTTCAGCCTCAGCAAGAGTAGGATCCTGGCAGGAGACCCATCACCTCAGTCAAGAGATGCTTAGGTGGTGTGTGCATCTGTCCTGTAACCTTTGCTTTCCATCGGCTCTTCGGTTCTGACGATATTCTTTAGTCTGGACCCAAGCCTCCTCAGCCCCTTGGTACAGAGCTACAGCTTTCTGGTAGAGCCGCTCCTAGATGCTGCCTCTGCCAGCAGCTCACACGTGGCTGGATTAGGCCGAGGGGGCTGTAAAGTACACACACACTTGCCCAGCGTGTGCTCCTCGTTCCTAAAATACTTCATTCCTAAAGCACTTCTCGGCCTTCTCTTGGCACAAAACAGGACAAGTGGCTCTGGGCCAGAGGAAGTGTCTGCTTAGAAATGCGGGCTTTCTTTACATTTCTTTACTTCAGGAAAAAAAAAAAAATCACTAGCATGACTACAATGGAATAAAAGAGAAAGAGAAAAGCCTGTATATAAAGACATTTTGTTTTTGTTTTGTAAATTGTCCGGAAATATAAAGCATAGCATTACCTTTAATGAGAACAGAAATTCCAGAGTCTAAGTTTGGACAAGAAAACAACAGTATTTCTTTAGCAGAAGAGATTCATGCACATACGTGTGCCAGCTTCTCACACACAAATCACATTTGTTTTGAGGTGGCGTACCCAAAGGAGGTGTAGCGGAAGCTTTTCAAAATCATTTGCTTTGGTCAGAATGTATTTTATTTTTATACTCAGTTCCCTCGTGCTTTTCATCCTCTATTAGAAGCCCGGGTCAAAGATGAAAACCCATCCCAGTTGATTTACCTGCCCTTTCCCTTCATTCCAGGCATTTATTCCGGACTCCCTTCGAGACCACCTTTGCAAAATTAATAGCCGCAGGCAACCTCAGCTGGGCTGTAAAGCCCACCTTGGTAGACGTGCCACACAGAGCATGTTAAAGAATATCACGTCCAACTCTCTAGCCCAGACACCTCCCCCGAAGCTAGGACTCAGGCAGGAGGAGAGCGACTTACTTTCTTTCCACTTCTGGAGTCGACACAGCGCTGCAGAAACCAAGGGACTCCTGGAAGAGAGAGGAGGTCTCAGTGTCAGTACGGGAGTCTAGTTCCTACACAATATCACTGCAGAGAAGAGGCAGAAGCCAAACCAGATGAGGAAAAGTTGCTGTGCTTACTTCGAGCTGGGACCGCAGCTGAAGTGACGTGGGGCTGGCGTTGGGTTTCTCCTAAAACAGAACAGATGCAGCTTTAATGAGACGCCCAAACGTGGCACACACAGAAAGATAAATAGATGTGTAAGAAGAGAAGGGAGGATTTGGGAAACACTCTGCGGTGCAGTGGGAGGAGATGGCGGAGATAAAGGGATTCTCTGGGAAACCTGAAGTGCTTTTTCAAATGGAACTCAACCGCTTCCCAAACTTCACTGCTATACTCTGCTCAGTTTCCCTCCACACAAGCACCGATCAACCAAAGGGAACTGACGATTAATGGTGAGATGATTCTCTGGATACACCAGACCATCGTTGCTAGATTTTGCGTTTACTGCAGCTGTTGAAGTTGAGTTTATTTTTCAATAGCATCGAGTTCCAGCCTGATTATTTTTACATTTACTTAATTCTGTTTATTGGGGAGGGCACACACTGGTGCCCTGGCATGCGTGTGGAAGGCAGAGGTCAGCTTTCGGGAGTCCATCCACTCCCATGCGGGCTCCAGGGATTAAACTCAGGTTGCCAGGTTTAGTTAGCAGCAAGCGTTTTACCTGCTGAGAGAGCCACCTTGGCAACTCCCGATCCGATTTTGAAATTCTGAACTCATTCAAAGTCTTGTTGTAAATGCGTGTTAGAAAGCTGGAAGACTTAACTGGATTTTATTTCGGCCTTTAAAAAAGAAGCACCATATATATTACAAATGAACTGGCCTGCTTGCAAATTTACCAAAGCCCTCAGCTTGCATGTGATGAATGACATAAAAAAGAAAAGAAAAAATGCACGAGGCTGTGAGAGTATTGAGCAACATTAAATCACAAGGGCAGAGGACTCCGTTTCAGAGATAAAGACCATGTCTTGTAAACACCCTTGTTTTATAGTAAGAGGTTCCCTTGAAAACGTGAAGCAAAGGGGGGAAAGAAATGAGTTACATGGGATGCAAACAATGGGCTGAGATGGGCTTTGGTGGTTTAAGTGTGAAAGTTGTACTAAGGAAACATTTGCTTGTAATTAGAAGAAAACAAGAGCCATCCACAGAGCACAGTGGTTTTTTCCAAAGAGACTAATTCCGGATCAACACAAGTGTAAACAAAAGCTTATCCTTTCTTCCTCCTCCTCTTCCTCCTTCTTCTTTTGGTTTGTAGGATAGAGTTTCTCTGTGTATCTCTGGTTGTCCTGGTACTCACTCTGTAGACGAGGCTGGCCTCGAACTCACAGAGTTCTGCCTGCTCCTCCTCCCTAGTGCTGGGATTAACATGTGCCTCCACTGCCTCCTCTCCAAGGCTTATCTTACCGGAGGCAGCTCCACAAAGGGGCAGCTCTGAAACAAACATTTGGAAGCTGCTTCTGCCAAATAACATTGACTCTTCACCTGGGCCCACAGGTATCTGAGAGCAACAGGAAAGCCTGGCATCCTTGCCTTCACTGAGTCTGTCTGCCCCCTTTACTTCAGCAGAAGACGTAAGGATGGGTCATTGTCCTAAGCCTGTGAGCATCTTGGATTCCTAGAGGAACATCTGACCATAACAATCCATAATGGAGAGGCCACACCCTGCAGTAGGAAGTGTTCATCTTACAGAGACCAGATTCATCCTTTTATGTCATGGCAGTAAGGCATCTTCAGACAGCTCTCACAGAACCAAGACAATGGTCAATCCTTTGACAAGGATTGGTCACCTACGCAGACCTCTGATCCCTCTAAAACCCATGCTGGTTCACTGAAGATGGGCCTATACTCACTGGGATCCACCCAATGTGGCTGGCCACATTGACTAAATTTTCTCTGATTTTTATGATTACATTTTGACTGACACATTGAGATGAGCAGCTGAGCCTAGCCTACTGAACCTGCTGGCTGGGGTCAGGCTTTTGCCCTAAAACTCAAGTTACTGTTAAAAGATACATACACACAAACATACATACATGTGTTTGTATGTGTATGCTGTCGGAAGACACATTTGAACCTTTGATTTGTAAGAAACCTGAGTTATGAGTAAGCCTCAGGCCTCACCCCTGTGCAGCGTCAGAGAGACCAATTGGACAGCACTGGCATTTTGAGACTACCTCTTTGAAGTCCCTTACAAGACAGACTAAGGCCCTCCATTCTCCCACCTCTGTCCGATTCCCTTCCTAACATGGCCACTTCGAAATCTCCTCTATGCTGGTCATCATTACTCACTTTTGAAATTGGCAAACTGAGGATAAATGGCTGAGCCTAGTGTTTCAGAGTTGCCAGAACTCTACTTACCAGGCGATGGTTACCCAAAGCTCTGGTTATCGCTCCCTGATCAACTTGGTATACGATGATAGGCACATCTGTCAGAAGCAGTATCATTAGCTATAACTTAAACAATCGGAATGATTCCGATTTCTTCAGTAGTCTGATGGCAGTAGCTATCACCATGGCTATATTCTTCAGGACTACATTATGGCTTTAGGAACTGTTTTGGTTATCTCAACTAACACCCAGGACGTGGACAGGTCGTGGTCATGCCCCGTGATGCAGCCTTACAGGCATCTGATTATAGGTTTATTAAGGGTTGTGATTAACACAACCACAAAACACCAGCAGAGAGACTTTGCAGAAGCAAAAAGGTAGCAGAGAAATAAGGACAGTTTGGGGCAGCGCCAGAGATAGGAGGATGGGGTAGCGCTAGAGACAGGAGGATACGGCAGCAATCGAGCCCAAATAAAGGCCATCGCCATCCGTGTACTTTCTGGAGGAGTAAAGGGGTGGGTTCTGGGAACCTACTGCCCAACCCTGTGCATGGACCGCATACATTGAAACCAGAAGGAGGGTGGGTTGCCCACCATGTAGGCTCCTTTTGTTTTTGCCACAAGGAAACAATGAATGCGCCAGAACGAGTAGCTCTGAAGAGATAATTGTGGGTAAACAGCCTGAAGGAGAAGAAACATCTTAAGGGACTGGCTGCTCACTCAGCCCATCCCACACCCTTGCTTATGAAGCACCACAGAACTCCAATGCCCTCAGGGCCCCGCTGATCTCTACTTACTTACTTACTTATCTGCGTGTTGTGTATTATTGTGTCGGGAGGTGTGTGAGTGTGCCATTCCGTGCTGTGGAGGTCAAGGGACAACGTTGAGAACTGGCCTCCCCTTGGACTGTGGGTTCCAGGGATTACACTCAGGTTGCCAGGCTTGCACTGGAAGTCCTTTACTGAGCCAACCTGCCAGCGCAGCACCCTCCTGGTTCTTGTCCATTGTATTTACAATTCTGTACCAAACCTGGCACATAATTTTGGCAAGGCACTGTTCAAAGTCCAGCTGGTCCTGCATAGATCCCTGGTGCAGTCAGCATTCCTGGTGCCTACAGCCCTATCTGGAAGCCAGACACTTAAGCCTCGGAAACAATAGGTGAAGAACTTTCAAGTTTCAGAAAGGATTTTTGTAAGCAAAACTACTATTTGCGAATACATAACAGCTCAAAACAAAACCAGCTGCTTGCCCAAAACCAACAGATGCACACATATGTATTTCTACCTGCTTGTCCAGGTGCACACATGCGCGGTCCAGTTACATTAACAGCACATGGGTCGAATGTAACATGTAGGCACTGGAATTAAATGAATATATTTCGTTCTAGTGTGTTCAAACCCGCTGTGATACACCGGACTCCAAACCCACCTGAGGGCAGAAATAAGGTCCTGGAAAATGGTTTTCAGACCCCCCGCCCCCGTCCAGCTGTTTCCAAGTTCTTGTGGAAACTCACATTTCTCTGTCCCTCATTGCTGCCAGGATCCCACGCCAAATGAACTTTACATCTGGGAAGGAAGAAGGGACAAACCACTGTGCTGTTCCAAAGGCCGAGAGGAAGAACACCAAGCACCCACCAGCTCAGCTCAGGGCCAACTTCTCCTCCTCCACGAGAACCACAGGAAGGAGGTGGAAAAAGGCAAGCTTGCTTGGCAGAACATAAGAAAAACACAGAATGCCACGTGCTCTCACTGTATGAGAGGCAAATTTGAAAAGTATTTCTAGGACAGCAAGTTGGCTCAATAGGTAAGAGTACTTACTGTCAAACCTGATGACCTGGGAACCACATAGGATGGAGAGAGCCAGCTCCCTCAAGTTGTCTTGTGATCTTTCCCTGAGTGTTTCGGACACACACACACACACACACACACATGCATGTGCACACACACACATGCATGTGCACACATACACACACTCATGAACACTCACACACACACACACACACACACACACACATATACACACACACAAAGGTGAAGGACAGTGACTGAGACAAACACCCAACACTGACCTATGGTTTCCACATGCATACATATTCACACACATGCATGTGCACACATGCATGCGTGCACATGTGCATGCATGCCTGAAGTATAAAAATGCATAACTAGTTGTTATACTAGTTGAGGGAGAAAATTTAAAAAATAATAAATAAATAAACAGGGTCTCAGGAGGCTGAGACAAACGTCAAACTTTAGCCCATGGTAAACTTTTTATAATAAACGCTTGCAAACGCGGGCAGGGAAGGCTCCGATGTAATATACATAAATGATATGTTTCTGTTCTTGCGTGGTGATTTTCTTTCCTTCTGAGCATTAATCTTCGAATGACTTACTCTATAAATTATTGAACTTAGTTCAAAAGCAAATGAAATTTAAAATACCCATTTATTGAATGGCAAAAGTGCCATGTTGAAATTACTGTGATTTATCTGTTTCTTTAACGATTCCTGTAGCAAACTTACTTCATTGCTCAAAATGATTACCTGGGTGCAGAGTTTACTGCGGTCTAAGAATGAATCTCCCCTCACTGTGCAGCGGCAGCCATTTGTCAGGATCTTGTTTGTTCCTTCACAGCCACTTGGCCAACTTTCTCTCTCTGCAACTCTGAAAATGCTACAATGTATGTTGCACTAATTGCAACAGTGGAGAAGGAGAAGGGCCTTTTAACCAAGACAGAGTTCACCCACCCAGCCCAATGTCCAGCATGGTTCCTGCAACTCCAATAGGAAGTAGTGATTGGCCTAT